CACAGGTAGCTTGCCAGGCTTTGCTGTGGGGGCAAGATACTCTTGGTAGCTTGCCAGGCTCTCTGAGAGTGACGAAGGGGTTGACCAGGTCAGCCCCGTGCAAGGCAAACGCCCTACCTGCTGTGCTATCGCTCCAGCCCTAGAGAAAAATATTTATAGAGATTCAAAGGATTAAAATATGCTGGGCTAGAGAGAACCAAAAGACAAGTGACTATGAACATCATTTAAACTGTTCTTCTGAGAGTTTGTGAATTTTCAAATAAGGTGAATGAAGCGCTTTTCATTCATTAGAAACTGGGAGCATTAGTGTTTTATTATCCAAGCTGACTGTGCCTTAGTTACATCTTTTATTTTTGGGGCTTTTATTGCTTGTGCTTGAATTTTCTTGAGAAACAATTTCTTCAACTTCTCTCCTCCACAGTTAAATTGTACTTCTTAACTGAAAAAATAATTATGATGATGAATAGCACTCTTCAATCCTTTGTGCTGAGAACCATTATCCGTATATTAATTTGACTTCTGTTTCATAACATTTCTTCTCTTGTCCTTGGTAATATTTGCTGTGATGTTAATTAAACACGCTCTCCTTTAGCACTGCAGTCCTGTTGTTCATTGATTTGCTTGAGTGGGCACCAGTAACCTCTCCATTGTGAGATTTGTTGTTACTGTTTTTGGCATATCGAATATGCCATGGGTAGCTTGCCAGGCTTTGCTGTGAGGGTGGGATATTCTCGGCAGCTTGCCAGGCTGTCCGAGAGGGGCGGAGGAATAAAACCCAGGTTGGCCAGGGTTCGGCCATGTGCAAGGCAAACGCCCTACCTGCTGTGCTATCACTCCAGCCCATTAATTAAATAAAACAATTAATTGAATGTAAGCTCATGCTGGAGGGATAGTGTCTTTTGAATTTCCTCTATAAGGGAAGCTAAACGACACTTATTAAATTCTCATTACATTATTTTGACTGCATAAAGTTAAACACTCTAGAGAAAGTCTGAAGTTACGTGTCTTGAATGACTTGAGACTCCTGGGATGACAGTCGAGGCCTCCAATGTTCATTATGGGATGTTTGGAATTCCAGGAGCCTTTGAACAATTGTGATGTCGAAAGTTGAGACCTTTTAAAGTCAACCAATAAATCCTGCCAACAATTTTAAAGAAAAGGGAAAGATAAGAAGGCTAAGTCCTTACTGGCCAAAGTTAGATAGGGAAGATAAAAGGAGAACTGAATAGCTTTCTGCAATCCCCATACATGCACGTTCTAGATATCATTGATCATACAAATATTCAAGAACATACCTTCTATTTCACGACTTAGTGCACTTGCATTATTCATACATTTTGTTGCTCTGGCTTTCCACCCCTGTTGTCTAACACTTGACAAACTGTTAAATATTAAACAGTTCCTTTTTACTATTACATTCCCCCAAATAATAGTTTTAAGACAGAATGATCAGATATACTATGACATGTGTTGTGGTACATCTAACTTTTCGGTGGTATCTGAGTAACTGTAATTGTACTAAAATGTTTATAAAATGAAAGAATGGATGAGCAAATTGGAAAATTAGACTTCATTTCTGAGACATTTTAGTTCACACAAGAGTGCATTAAGTGTATTTAGCGTTCATGTTAAATATAAAAGAAAATTAAGTCTTTAAAAATGAATAAAATTTTGAACAGGTGTTTTAAAGATTAAAAATTCACCTCCTCTATGTGGAAATTTCAATGGGAGGCTCTGCATGTGAACAAAGGATAAAAATACACAATTATGCACCTAACATTTAAAGTATAATTTGGGAGGAGTTTTAAAAATCTATAATTTAGACTATTTTGATTTATTCAGGTGAACCCAAGTAATTACAAACTAGAAAAATCCAGGGATAGCATCTCCTTGAACCTCTATAAGAACTTTCTAGTTCTTTAGTAGTAATCTTGTTCAGATATTTGAACTCCAGAGCTCTATGACATTTTATTTTTTTGCAATTTGTTACATATGCTTAGGAAACTAAATAACTTTTTAGTAGTTTTATAAATAACTAAAACTGTGTGTAGGTTTGGAAAATATTAAATTACATGTCAATCACTAATACAATCACTAAGCCCTCCAAATATGCCTATAAGGTCTTTTTCTGTGACATACATTTTATTATTATTATTATTATTTGGTTTTGGGGCCACACCCAGCAATGAACAGGAGTACTCCTAACTCTGCACTCAGGACTTACTCCTGGAGGTGCTCAGGGGACCATATGGGATGCTGGAAATCGAACCCGGGTCGGATGCGTGCAAGGCAAACTACCTACCCGCTGTGCTATCTCTCCAACCCCATGGGCATACATTTTTAGTTAAAAAATACAAACAGGATGAAAGTAAAGAATTGAGATCAATTAATACATTAATTTATCATCAATTTATATAATATCCAAAATAGAATGGATGTGGCATACAAGCATTAGATAATGAAGTTCGAAAGTCAGTCATGTGAAATCTGAGACTTAAATATTTTCTATTACAGCAGAGACTTGCATACATTTCTGTTACAGTAATGAAAGAAAATTCTAACATAATAAATGAAAAATAAATAAAAAGCAGCTCTCATAAAAGTGAAAACCAGGGCTGCAGAGGTCATACAAAAGTTGAGGTGCTTCTGTTGCACAATTTAATGCTGCACCTTGCACAGTGTGACACCAGTTTGATCCTGGGAACTGGCATTGCATATGCTTTCTCAAGCGTCACCAGGAATAGAAGGCACACATAAAGATTTGTATTGTTACTGTAGAAAGGGTTGTGCATTAATCACTGTTTTGTTGATTATACTATAGAAAAAATGAGTGAAAACATAAGAAATATTTTTAAAGGATTCTATATAGCATCTGTGGCAATATCTGGATATTAAGCACACATTCAATAAATGTTCATTTATAGTCTCTGTGATCTCTTTTTAATGCCTTCTGTGAGGCATCATTTTTTCTTTTTAAAATAAAAATAAAATCTATTCCTTATTTCAATTTTATAATTTTTTTATTTGAGACTGTTATAATAACAAATATAAAAAGGAGTAATTAAACTTTAAGGAACCAAAGTAAGAAATGTTGAAAATAATTGAGTTTATATATAGAGTTAGACAATTCTAAAGCAAAATTGAACTATGACCCAACAGTCATTAATATGGTCATAAAGAAACTATTTTCAATCATTTTTATTAGTTGTATCACAGAATTCCATTATGGGAAATGAGTTTATATGAAATCAATATAATATTTCAAACAGGAAAAAGAAAGTTTAATTAATAGCATGCTTGGGCAAAAACAAGTTGGTGTTCAGTATGCAGAGAAATGCTCATTACTATAGAGATTAGGGTCAATAAGCTATTCTAAAAATGATAAAATATGTTTCTGATTTTTGTGAAATGTTCCATTAAAGTCTGATATATGAGAAAATTCTCAGATCACCTTCCAGGGAGTGAATTCAGGTACTTGTGCGTTTGGAATGTAAAATTCGGGGCAGGTTCAAAGTGATACAGGAGCTAAGACCAGGGTTTGATTGTACCACAGACAGTTCACCAAACACCTCCAGGACTGGAACCAGGAGTAAGACCTGAACACAGCTTGGTGTTCACCCCCCCAAATAAGAAATAACAGAGAGAGGGAGGGAAGAAGGGATGAAGAGAGGGAGGGAGGGAGGGAGGGAGGGAGAGAGAGAGAGAGAGAGAGAGAGAGAGAGAGAAAGAGAGAGAGAAAGACAGAAACAGAAAAAGAGACAGAGACAGAGACAGAGAGAGGATGGAAAAACAAAGGGAATGTGTTCTTCGTGGACTTCAAGGAATCCTAGTTTATAACCATTCTTTCTTTTTACTCGAATGAATCATAATGAAAAAGAAAGGATGTTATTTTCTATTTTTCCCCAAGTTGTAACCTGGTAAGAGATAAAATTATTAAAGTTAATAATAAGGTAAAGGTAAAGGTAAAGGCCCTCCCATTGATCGTCGATTTGCTCGAGCGGGCCCAGTAACGTCTCCATTGGAGACTTTGTTGTTACTGTGTCTGGCATATCAAATACTCTCGGTAGCTTGCCGGGCTGTCCGAGAGGGGTGGAGGAATCGAACTCGGGTCGGCCATGTTGGCCGCTTGTAAGGCGAACGCCCTACCCGCTGTGATAATAAAATATAGATATAATGATCTATAATTTTTAATTTACTTGTGTTTTGCTGTTGTTGTTATTCCTTTAAATTTTTCCTTTGTCTATTATGTGTGTATGCATTTATGTATTATTGCTTAATCCCTAATCCCTAAATTGTCCCCAGTGCACCAGTCTCTCTCTCTTTCTCTCTTTCTCTCTCTTTCCCTCTCCTTCCCTCTCTCACTCTTTATCTTTCTCTCTCTCCAACACACACACACACAAACACACAAAAGTATGTGCTTGGCTGATTCAACACACTGCACACCTTCTAAAAATTTGTTTATTGGAAACAAGAAGAGTACTTATTCTTATTACACTGATAAATATATGAGAATTAAAGAGGTGAGATGATTTTTCCATGCTCAATCATACAACTGGGGAAAGTAATTCTGGAATTCATAAGAATGGCCATAACCTAAATTCTTCAATATAATGAGGACATAATTATAAAAGTAATTATAGTCAGAGAAATAAGAAAACATATAGTCACCGTCACTGTCACTGCCCTCCCGTTGTTCATCTATTTGCTTGAGCGGGCCCAGTAACGTCTCCATTGTGACAATTGTTACTGTGTTTGGCATATCAAATGAGGCATGGGTAGTTTGCCAGGTTCTGCCGTGCGGGCGAGATCCTCTTGGTAGCTTGCCGGGCTCCCTGAGAGGGGCAGAAGAATCAAACTCGGGTCGGCCATGTTGGCTGTGTGCAAGGCAAATGCCCTACTGCTGTGCTATCGCTCCAGCACAAAATATATAGTATTCATAAAAATAGATTTTTCTGAAGTCTGAGTTTCTTAAGAAAAAATTATTGATTATCTATTTTATGGTGCTATAAGGTCGTCGTGAATGCTGCCATTTTGAACCCCAGGATCCGCTCCACCAGCTGCTGTTCTATATACTTTTCTACCAAAGAAATATATGCATTAAAAATTGGTGTGTAGGTGAGTTTATTCTCTTCTGTGTCTTCAAACTCCTGGTAGTACTTATCCATGAAATTTCTCTGTAATAATTGGAACTCATCATCCATGATAATGTCCTCTAAATACCCAACTACGGCATCAAATTCTGCATCAGAGGCTGAAGAGTAGGACAGCGCCAAGCTCTCCTCCTCCAGAGTGTCCATCACCACTGCGCCCCGCTCCCGGGCTGCATCTATTCCGAGTCGGGGGCCCGTCGCCTGCTGCCCAGCCCTGGCTCAGCTCGGCTGAGAGTCACAGAGTCTCCTGCCTCCATGTCTAGCTGTCCTCTCTGGGGCCCCTTGGAGGAGGGTGGATTGAGTTTCCCTCCCCACCCCGAGCAGAGCCCCGGCAGCTGAAGACCTCCAGTTCCAACCACAGCTATACTTAAGACCACTCCCTACACCTTCTGATGAGCCTCACACATGTAGGAACCAGCAGAGGAACCCAGGTGTGCAGAACCCGGGGCGTAGATCTCCAAGCCTGCTAGAATTGGACTGGGGCCTCCTCCACCCAGATCCCCCACCTTCCAGTTTGTAGGCGTTACACCCATCAGCTGCCCCTGGTGCCGTGTAATCCCATCAACGGCCAAGACCCAGAGACTATAAAACCCTGCTCTCAGAAGCAAGGCCACACGACATCTTATTATCTAGGTCTTACTCTGGAGAACCTGGCAGGCTACCAAAAGTATCCTGCCCACATAGCAGAGTCTGGAAAACTCCCCTTGGCATATTCAATATGCCAAAAACCAGTAACAATGATGGATCTCATTCTTCTGACCCTGAAAGAGCCTTGAATGTGGCACTTTTGAAAATCTCAGGGCTAGGACGAAGGAGACGTTACTGGGGCCTGCTTGAGGCAACAATGACCAACAGGATGATAGTGATGCAGTGATTTTATATTTTACATATATGCTTTGTATTTTACTTTATCTTTATAAAATTAAAATGTCAATATTAAAAATGAAAAAAATATGATAGTTCTTAAAAGTTAGTCTGGGAAAATTTCTCAGAAAATGGAACACACAACATACACACACACACACACAACACACACACTCTGAAACAAGAAATAAAATTCAACTGATAAATAGGTTCTTGAAGGTCAAATTCCCATTGTCATTCCCTTTCTCTCCCAGTTCCCTGTTAACCTTGTTTCCATTAACTTTGTCAAAAAGAACCCCAGAGGAAGTTTCTCTTATTTATCTTTAACCCTGGTCTGCAAAGGACAGTAGCCACTGCTGAACTCCGCAAATAGAGAAAAAAAAAAAAACAATGGAAGAGGTAAGGAAACTGCATATATTTTCCAAGAGGCTCTGGCTGCCCATATTGAAAATGGCAGAGGTAATTTGCTCAAAATTGGTGACAGTCAAATACAACCTGAATTGCATTTTGTAAGGACAACTAGAGACTGCATTGAAATGCAAAATTGAGGGTGAATGAACTGTAAGACATATTCCAATTTTATGTTTCTTTCCGCTACTCTAACTTATATAAGATTCATTCCTCTCCAGTTTTACTTTTCACAGTTCACACACAAATTTTTTATCACTTCTTTCAAAATGAGTTGATTTCAACAGTGCTAATTTCTAGAGTCAAGTGAAAGATATGTTAAAGAAGGAGGCCCTTTCCCCATGTCTGTTGTTCCTGAAACATCATTCTTGGTTAAATTTTACCCTTGATTTATGAATGGGCCGCATTGCTTTTACTTAGAAAGTGTCACTTCTCCCCATGACTAAACAATACAATAAAAATATTAATATTATTTTTTAATGTACTCTTTGTTTTTGATATGATAACCTATATATCTATCTTCAATTTTTGGCTACTGAGTTGAATTTTGAGCTTTCAGGCTGATATTAACAAGATTGGCTTAATAAGATCAAAAGCCATATTCATTCTAAATAGTTCTTTATAAAATCTACTTCACAAATATGTTAATCTCATTTCAATTGACTAACCACAAAAAAGTCAAGTGCCTCTTGCCGTTCTCAACTTAAATTGTTTTGCTCTCATGGGGAACTTGGGACTTTACTAAAGATTAACAGCCATATAAATCCCATTTAAATATAGAAATGACACTGTATTTTCTACTTTAAGTATAACCCATTAAGGATTGAAAATATTAGTGTCCTTGTAATTCAGTTTTTATAGCTTCATATTGCTTACCCAATCTCTGCAACTCTTATTTTTAACACACCAAGATTTTTTGTGCCAACCCATCAGGTTAATATGTAGCACCTCATGTTTAGAACAATAAGCTTGAGTAAAATTGCGATCAGTTTTAAATTCATCATCATGGTAGGAATACCCCTAACTTCCCTAGAATGATGATCATGGGGATCATTTCCTATCTTTCAAAATAAGTGAGAAATGACCTTCATAATACCAATGAAACCTCATGGAATTGACTTTTTCTTCCCATCAATAAGTAAAACTGCTCTGTAAATTGAATTGTTCATTCATTAAATCAATATATAATTTGTTCCCTTATTTTTTAATGAAATTTATATACATGTGGTACTAAATGGAAAGTATCATGTTAAGCGAAATGAGTCAGAAAGAGAGGGATAGACATAGAAATATTACATTCATCTGGGGAACATAAAGTAACAAAATAGAAGACTAACACCCAAGAATGGCCGAGATTCATACCAGGAATTTTGCTACATAGCTTGGAGGCCAGCTACACATGCTAGGAGAAAAGGCAGCTCAGATAGAGAAGGGAGCACCAAATAAAGGGTGTTGGGAGGATCCTACCAGGATGGGAGAAGCAAGCTGAAAGTAGACTATAGACCAAACATGATTGCCACTCATTACCTCTTTTGCAAACCACAACACCCAAAATGAGAGAGAGAACAAAAGGGAATGCCCTGCCACAGAGGTAGGGTATGATGGGAGAGGTGGGGGATGGGAGGGATACTGGGATCCGTGGTGGTGGGAAATGGGCACTGGTGGAGGGATGGTTGTTTGATCATCGTATAATTGAAACCCAAGCACAAAATTTTGTAAGTCTAAAACTGTACGTCATGGTGTCTCACTAATAAAATCACACAAATCAGAAATCATCCTGTTAATCGTCAATTGCCTCGAGCAGGCCCCAGTAATGTCTCCTTCATCCTAGCCCTGAGATTATATTCAAGGCTCTTAAGGAGAATGAGACCCATCACTGTTACTGGTATTTGGCATATTGGGTACGCCACAGGGAGTTTGCCAGACTCTGCCGTGTGGGCAGGCTACATTCGGTAACCTGCCAGTTTGTCCAAAGTAGGAATGAGATAATAAGAGGTCATAATAGGATGTCGCGCGGCCTAAAAACCTGGAGCTGGTTTTTATAGTCTCTGAATCTTGGCCGTTGATGGGATTACACGGCGCCAGGGGGCCAGTTGGTGGGTGTGAACCCCGCCTACTGGAATTTGGAGGATCTGGGTGGATGATGCTCGGCCCCAATCCGAGTAGGCTTGGAGATCTCTGCCCCGGAACCCGCGTGACTTTGTCCCTCTGCCAGTACCTTCATGTGTGCGGAGAGTGATCTCAGCATGTTGGTGGCTGGTCCTGGAGGTCTTTGGCTGCCGGAGCCCTGGTCGGGGTGGGGAGGAAAGCTCAACCCGCTCACCTCTGGTGACCCCCGCCTACTGGAATTTGGAAGATCTGGGTGGAGGATGCTCGGCCCAAATCGGAGTAGGCTTGGAGATCTCGGCCTAATAAAAATTAAAAAAAAAAAACCAACCCCCCCACAAAAAAAACAGCATAGTGCTGGAATGAAGACAGACCTTCAGATCAATGGAATAGTTTGAATATCCTGAGACAGAATTTTCAGCTATATGATCTATTAATAAATGAGCAGAAAATGTAAAATGGAGTAAGGAAAGTCTCTTCAACAAATGGTATTTGGCAATCTGGTCAGCCGCATGCAAAAATAATAAACTCAGAACTTTTTCTAACACCATGCAAAAAACTCAAATAAAAATGAGTTGACGACCATGATATGAAAAGTTGAATTCATGATGTATGTAGAGGAAACATAGGAATAGCTCTCTATGACATTACAACTAAAGGGATCTTCAAAGATAAAATGCTACTGGTCACTCCAGTGGAAGCAAAGATATGGGACTACAATAAATTAATAAAGTATCTGCACTGTAGCACTGTCCTCCCGTTATTCAATCATTTACTCGAGCGGCCCTGTAATGTCACCATTGTGAGACTTGTTGTTATTGTGTTTGGCATATTGAATACATCATGGGTAGCTTGCCAGGCTTTACCTTGTGGGCAGTATACTCTTGGTAGCTTGTAGCTCTCCGAGAGGGGCGGAGGAACAGAACCTGGTAGGCCGCTTGCAAGGCAAATGCCCTACCTGCTGTGCTATCGCTCTAGCCCAAGGTTCTGCACCTCAAAGAAATCTATGACCAGGATACAAAAATGGAATGCGAGAAATTATTTACCCAATACCTCTCTGATAAGAGGTTAATATCCAAGATATATAAGGCACTAGTAGCATTACTGGAGCACTGTCCTCCTGTTGTTCATCGATTAGCTCAAGCGGGCCCAGTAACATCTCCATTGTGAGACTTGTTGTTACTGTGTTTGGCATATCAAATACGCCATGGGTAGCTTGCCAGGATTTGCCTTGTGGGCGAGATTTTCTCAGTAGCTTGCCAGTCTCTCTGAGAGGGATGGAGGAATCGAACCTGGGTCGTGCGCAAGGCAAAAACCCTACCGCTGTGCTATTGCTCTAGCCCAAGGCACTAGTAGATACTAGTAGAAATTTACAAAACAAACAAACAAAAATCCAATTCCTTCCGAAAATGGGAAGAACCAATGAGAAGACATGTCTTTAAAGCAGAAAATGATTGGATTAAATGTTCATGAAAAAATACTCTAGACATCATTAATCATTAGGGAGATGAAAATCTCAAAATAGCACTGGGATATCATCTCACACTGAGACTGCTACACATAAAAAAGAACAAGAACCACCAGTTCTGAGATGATGCAGAGATAAAGGGAGTAATTCACTGCTGGTAGAAATGTTGACTAGTCTGTGGTCTGGCCCTTCTAGAAAGCAATATAGGAATTCCTAATAAATCTAGGAATTTTTCATTTGACCCAGCAACTACATTTCTTGGTATATATACCAACAGACCAAAAACAAAATGAAGAAAAGATATTTGCA